GGTAGGACAGGTTAAGTTACTTCACAGTTGCTGAGTGGTTCTTATCAGGGCCAGGCTTTGAATACTAACTGGAAATTTCGAGTCCAGAAAGTCACATCAGCATTTGTACAAAGACTTTCCCAGTGCCTTAGGGATCGACTCTTTCCTCCTTCTTTTACCCTTTGATCTTCTCTAGACTAGAACATATTGCCCCTCGTATTATTTGTATGAAAGCAGAACTAGAACAGGAGAAAGGGTATTCCTGGACCGTATCCCCAGCCACCTTTCTGGGCACCAGAGTAAGGGGTCAGGTGCATTAGCTTGATGGGGCTGCTGTAGCAAAGTGCACAGAAAGGGTGACTTAGAAAATGGGAGTGTAGACCTTAAAGTTCTAAAGCCTAGGAGTCAAAATCAAGGTACTGGCAGAGGAGGAACACTGGGCTGGAGAATCCTAGGCCTTTCTCCTTGGTGTATAGATTTCCATCTTCTCCTTGCATCTTCACATTCTCTTCCCTGCATGTATGTGCTTGTCAAAATTTCTCTTTCTTATAAGGACACTTATCATATTGGCGTAGAACTCAGTCTAATGACCTCACTTTAACTTGATTAGCTCTGGAAAGACCCTATCTCCAAATATGGTCATATTCTGTGTCATCAGTAGTTAGGAGCCTCACATATGCATTCTGGGGAGAAATCATTCAACCCACGGCCTGAGACATGTATCTTTCTGGTTGCCCATTACCTCTACCCCTGTGATGTGCATTTGGGTGGGACACAGAGGCCTCTTCCTGCAACAGAAACAATGTAACCCAGACACCTCTGAACTGCTTGAACACAGTGAATGACCAGGGCCAATGTCTCATTCTGTCCAGGGAGATACACCTGCACAGGACTGTGAGCCGATCAGGATCTACTGTCACTAAGACACGGGCTCCTGCAGAATTCTTTCCATGTCCACAGGTCAGCAGCCAGGCATCTGCATGGCCTTCAGTGCCAGGTCAAGTGAGCCAGTGAGACAAGAGGTCTCATGTCAGGGAGGGGACAGCTTCACAGTGCTCATCCCAGGCCACCTACACTATTTTCCAGTCCTGGTTTTTCTTTCTTCTCTGCCTAGATGAATGGTTCCTGGCACTGATCTCCACTTTTGGGCCTTACCCATGGAGCTCTCAGAGGATGATCCCTCTCAGTAGTCACAACCCGTGTTAGATTGGCCCTGCTAATTGTGCTGAGAGCGTCTCTTCAGCACAGTGGCAGAGATGTGAGCCTTGGAGCCAATCAGATGGAGGGCCATATTCTGACATACCAATGTATGACCTTAAGGAAGTTATTTAAAGTCTTGAAATCAAAGTCTTCTCTGCTTTAAATGGGTCAATAAAAGTAGCTACTATGTCAACATACTTTGAGGATTAAACAAGTTAATGCCAACTGTGGTAAATGTATCATGGTATGATGATATGTCATGTGGCGGTTCCACTTCTACCATGGGAGATCAACAGATAGGGTCTATAGGAGACCTGTAAGTCTATGGACAATGAGCTTTACCTGTAGGCTGGCAGGGCCACATGTGGTTGACCTGCTATTGTCACTTCCTGGCTGCTGGGTTCCCCACTCAGGTGTGTGGGTTGGTCTCAGGGCCCTGCAAAGTGGTCTGGCCCACCTAATACTTAGCCTCCCTTCTGTTCCAAGTTCCTAGCTTCTTGCCTTTTATGGATGTTTCTAAGTGCCCTAAGAAGAAGGGAATGACCTGGAGAGGGTGTTTACAGGTCATTAATTGTTCCCATATGTACTTTCTCTTCTGGTTGTGGAAACCCTGCCATTGTTTCAGGTGTTTTTCAAGATTTTCCCTTCCCTGCCCATTGAGGAAGGTCCCCCTTCCACCTAGCACCCAACACCCAGCCTTGTACCTGGTGTGAAGGACTCAAGGGACCTTTCACAGTGGCTCCAGCCCCAGCTCCTTTACCCAGCCCAGACCTGCCCAGTCCAGATCTGAAGACCTGTTGCTATAGAAATAACCCCATAAAAGCAGGATGATGGGGAGGATGGCATATGGGTTGGGCCAGACCTTCTCAGAGACAGTATTTGATTTTGACTTGTTATTGTTTTCCTTTTTTGTGGAGAAATACAACTCAGATGTCCCAGCACTTCACTTGCCATGTGGCATTCCCACCCATATGGAAGTTCTGATGTTGTATTTCTGCAGTGGGAACTATGGGTCATTTTTAGCTAACTGATTCTGGGAGCCTTTGGACAAGCCATTGGATTTTATAAGGATAAATGGGAGCCAAGAGGGCTGGGCTATGTTTGATTTAAAATTGGAAACCTGCGAGTTAGAAGTGTGCTTTTTATAGTCTGGGAGGGAAGGAGCCCCAAGTCATGATTTATGAGAGAGTTCACTGCAAGCACATGAAAGCCAAGGTAATATTTATAAATTCCTTGCTCCAAAAGTGGAGGGAATATTTTGTAGAGCTGCAATCAAACAACACCTTTTTGGGACTCAGGGGAGGTTGTTTAAAACTAGTTATTCAATGACTGAAAGAAAAAGGAAATGTTAGTCAGGGGCAAGTGTCTGATGTACATGCAAGACTGGCTCCTTGTGCCCTGCTCATCAGAGATTTCTTGGTGTCTCCTTCCTAGTGCTCCAGTCCCCTCCTCACCTTCTCCTGTCCTTCTTCAATGGGCAAGAACCCACCTCTAACTATGGTGATCCCTTTTGCAAATAAAAATCTCTGTCTTGGTGTGTGGGGACAGGACAGAGTCTTTAGAGGTCTGATCACAGTGGGAAGGAAGAAGGGAACAGACAATAAAATGTGCTGGGGCAAAGGATGAGTACAAGTACAGGTTGCCCCAGGTAGCCCTGGATCCTAAGGCTACTGCGTGACAGGATACACTGCCTTAGGTAAGCTAAGCCATTGTGTAGGAGTTTGATGCTGCCTGGCCCAAGGTGCGTGGTCCTGCCAGCCCTGGTGAGAGGCTTATACATACTCTGTGGGTTTTTGGACCCCTTGGTGAGGCTGGAGACTACCACCTCCCAAGGAATCATGACTCCATCAATGAGGGATAGAGTCAAAGCAATCATCCAACTGTGGCTTCCTCTGGCCCTGACATTCCTGGGCAGTGGAAGACCGGGAGAAAAGGAGGGAAAAGGGGAAACTTCAGGTCAGTGTCTCTAAAGGTTGACCCCCATGCCTAGGTGAAAGATGTCATTACTGGTGGCTCCTATTAGCCCTCCTTGGAAAGGGACTGAGCCATGGGCTTAACAGGAGGAACTCAAGTTGGCTAGATCGCTGTGCTTCCCTGAAAAAGGAGGATTTCTTAAAAATTGTTCTCAGGAGAGAAAATGCCAAGGGGAGGGGTGACATACATTCTGCCTAATTGTGTGTCCTGCCTTGACCTTGCTGCTTCAGAGTTCCATGGCAGAAAAAAAGGGAGCCCTACTAATTACCACTCTGCCTTCAGGGAGGATCAGTGACCTGTCAGCTCCGGGCTGAGAGCAGGTGGGGGCCTTTCCATCTCCCTGCTAGCTTCTGCCCAGACAGGCATGTGTGCTTCCAGGGTGGGGTAGGGGATAAGAAAAAGGATCTGCTTCTCCTAAACTGCTGGGAGGCTGGGATGGAAACACAAAGAGACACCTTCACATACCACCCCTATCAAAGCACTGACAGTAAGTTGGCCCAGACACTTAAAAGTGCTTGTTCAGCCTATTCCTCAATAGTAGAGCATTTAATGTCAACTCTCTAGCCAGTTCTTCACAATGACCAGAAAGAACATGGGAAACCTCTATCCTTTCATTCTTGCACAATTTAGGAGCTATCCTATGAAAGATGCTGAAATCTGAGTTGGTCCCTGGAGGGGATGTCATGTTCCTTTCAGTGGGTGGCTCTGGAACTCACCACCAAACCTCATCTTGGATCTTGTGCTCTGCCCCACCCCATCGCAGAAAGCTGCTATCTGTTGACCTCTGGACAGTCTGTCCCAGCACTGAAGGGGCTTGTCCAACCAACCCCAATGCCGAGGGGAGGAGGGTTAGCTCGGTTATCCAGGCCTGAACCTCTTCCAATAAGAGAATTATACCAAAGTCAGTTCTTACCTGAGATGCCAACATCAAGTGTCCCTTCATCAACTAAGATGCCATGAAAAAGCCTGCTCCTGTCACCTCTATTCATGTCCCTCAGGTTATATAGAGGACAGATGTTTATTGGCATGCTATAGAGCATTAGCACTGGAAGGGACCCTTAGTGGTGGCATTAATACTTCTGTCATTTAGTACTCAGGTGCTGCATGCCAGATGTGTTCAGAATATTGTCCTCAATCCTCACAACTCCCTGAAAGAGGCAATATTATAAGCATTGCAGTGGAGGCCCAGAAGGCATGAGTGGCTGGTAGCAGAGTAGTCAGGGCGCAAATCTACATTCAGATCCCAGCTCTGCCATTTAGTCACCAGCTATGGGAGCCTGGGCTGATTCTTAAGTTTCCTGGGTCTCAGCTTCCTCATCTGTAAGATGAAGAATCCAAGAGTAGAAGCTTCCCCCAGGGGGTAGCTCAGCCCCTAGATGGGATCTGACCTCTGGGCGGTATGGGAAGGACTACCTATCTCTGAATTGCTTTTGTACCACATTGTGCTGGAAATGCCTCACAGTAGGCACGCTGACCTCTCATGATCTTCTAACCACTGTACATCTTATAACATCCAGAGCAGGTGTGTGAGCAATAAGATCAATATTTCAGAGCTCCTTTACTGTAATCCACATGGGCTTTTTAGGAGCTCTACATGCATTTATAGCTATTCTATGCTTTCAACATGTTCATTATATTCAAGTAAATAGGCAAGGTTAACCATAGATCTCAGTCTCTCTCTCTCTCTCTCTCTCTCTCTCTCTCTCTCTCTCTTTCTCTCTTTCCAACAATACAGGAATTCATTGAATTTTCAAAAAGCACACACAAAACATGGGTTTTTAGGCCTAGGTCTATGCCCTGGATTTAACAGGTTCATTTCAATTAGAATAAGAAACGAAGAAACAAAATAAGAATGCCAGTATCTTCTTTATTCCTCCACAGTGTCCCTCTCCCATCTATTCAAATTTCTCTCCTACACGCATATAAACATGTTACAACTGACCCCAGTTTCACTCCCAGCTTCAGAAGATGAATCACAGAGACTTGGCAAAGACAGACTGGAGCGAGCAAGTGCTGTGCGGAAGGAAGCGATGATTTTTAGCTGGCCTGACCTCAGCGGTCACTTTTTATCAGCATCCCCCATTCCAAGGCCAAGATGTAGCTCAAATGTGACAGCAGATGCAGTCTTCAGTCCAAGAAGCCCCAGAATTCTGGCAGGGACTGAGGGCTACAGTTTCCCTGGTTCTGCACTTGCACAAGAAACTCTAAAGTGTCACTGGACCCATCCTGATGCACGGCAGTCAGTGACACCTTTACAGGTCCTTTGGCTCTTTGTCCATGAAGAGGCAGCTCACTCTATTTCTACCCCTGCACTATGGAAGAGGTACAGTTTGCTCAGAGGGCCAGTGTTCTGTATCATGCAAGATGAGCAGGCAGGCAGTTGGCAAAAAAAGAGATGCAAAAGGTGAGAGGCAGGAAGGTGGATCTGAACCCACTTTGCCTGAGAACAGTGCCCAGAGGAAGCTGAGAATGGAAGAGAAAGCTGAATGAGGGTCTTGCTGTAGCACAAGGCAGCCCCTGCCCAGTCAAGTGGGTGGTGGGCAGCAGCACACCCTCTGCAGCCTCACTTGGACACCAGCATGTGGACAAACTCCTCGTAGTTCACCTGCCCATCTCCATCCAGGTCTGCGGTCTGGATCATCTCCTCCACTTCCACATCACTCAGCTTCTCCCCCAGCCTGGTCATCACGTGCCGCAATTCAGCAACACTCACGTAGCCATTGCCGTCCTTGTCGAACACGCGGAAGGCCTCCCGAATCTCTTCCTCACTGTCTGTGTCTTTCATCTTCCGGGCCATCATTCCCAGGAACTCTGGGAAGTCCACGGTGCCGTTTCCATCCCGATCTATCTCATTCACCATGCCCTGGAGCTCAGCCTCTGTGGGATTCTGGCCCAAGGACCGCATGACCGTGCCCAGCTCCTGGGTGGTGATGCAGCCATCGCCATCCTTGTCAAACAGAGAGAAGGCCTCCCTGAACTCAGCGATTTGCTCCTCGGTCAGCTGGTTGGTCATGCTGGCAGGGCGAGTGGCGCGGTGGCAGAGGTATCCTGGCTGGTATCTGCTCCTGAGCTCTTCCTGGCTGTGGAAGGACAGGTGGAGATCTGAGGGGCGGCTGTCTGGCTGGCTTTCTAGCCCTGGCTTGAATTGCTGGAGCTTAAGAAGGAGCAGAGTCCTCCCCCACCTCCAGCCTGGCGGGATTGGGCTGCCATCCGCAGACACCCCCGCCCCTGTGGTTGCCTGAAGGCCAGGTCCTGTTTAGACAGGAGTCCAGAAGCAGTAAGCAGGCCAGCCTGCTGATTGAGCTGACGCCAACCCCTCTATGTGAAAAGCAGACAGTTTTCACTTGGACACCCACAGGGCCAGCAGGAGCCACCAGTAATGACATCTTCTGTCTAGGTGTGTGGGTCAACATTTAGAGAAATCCACATGAGATTCTTCCTTGCACTTGCTCTTTTTTCTCCTTAGCCTTCCACCTGCCCCCAGTCTCCCCCTCTTCACTCAATAGAATAACCAGCCAACACCCCATTCCCCCCCTTTTTTTTTGAGCCTTTCCATCTTTTATTACTGCAACAGCTTCATGTTTTATTTAGCCCTCTGACTCTGTGCTTGTGCCTTCAACACTTTCACCACGATTTTCTGCTCTTCAATAAGGAAAGCACGCTTGATCCTGTCGCGGACACACTTGGCACACATGGAGCCCCCGTAAGCCCTGCTGACGTGCTTCTTCATCTTAGACAATCTCATAAGAACTTTAGGCCACACAGCTCGAACCCCTCAAAGTCTGCCTAGGCATATACCATATGCAGATTTGGGGGCCTTCCCAACCTTCTTGGTATAGAAGTAAACAATTCTATTCCCTGGAGTTCGGCACAGCCTAGTTTTGTTGGAAGCAGTGTTGTAGGAAAGCCTACAACGGTATGTCAGGTGCTGGACCATTGTGAAAGCCTCCAGACACCCTAGCTGGAAGAGCCATTTTCCCCTTTAGCTGAAGTTGTTTTGTTTTGTTTTTTCTTAGGATGAAAAACAAAAATTGTCCTTATTGAAAGGAACTTCCTTTCCTGGTCTTGGACTCCAAAGCTTTGGGGAGCTGGACAGTTTTCAGAGGGCAAAGGCTTTTTGTTTGGGTAAAAGCAGTATTTTCTTATCTTCAAAACAAACATGAGTGGAGAAAGACCTTCTCCAACCCATTCACTCAGTCAGTCTCTCATTCACAGAGGCTTGGTGAGTGCCTGTGATGTGCAAGTCTTTTCTTTTCTTTTCTTTTTTTTTAAATTAATTTTATTGAGAAAAACATTACAATGAGACAGTTTCAAAACAGGTTGGTAGGAGAGTTACAACAATTAATACATTACATATTGTTGTCTTTGTAATAGTCATTCATAGCTCAAGATGCCAACATGACATAAGCAGGCCACCTCTGTCCTCAGGAAGTCACATTCCAGTGGTAATACAGAGAGGCAGTGAGTAAACAAACAGAGAAATGCAAACAAGGTCAGTAGAGGTTTTTGATAAGTGCTGTGAAGGACATGAAAGGTAATGACAAAAGACACAGGAAGGTCAACTCCTTTGTCATCATCAAGGACAGCCTCTCTGCAGAAAGACATTCTAGAGTGGCCTCGTGGGAGAGGAGGGAATGATGGGGCTGAAGGACAGAAAGTGAACAAGCATGGAGAAGGTGGGGAGAAAAGACAAACGACGAAGACTTTACATGGGCACCCTACAAGCTCCCAGCAAGGGCCTGTCTCAGCCCTGCGTGAAGCAGAGACACAGCCAGAGAGAAGAGCATCTTTGAGAGGAGATGGGTTCAAGAAGGACCCTGGGTGTTCACCAGTCACATGGACTCAGCTCCCTAGCTCCAGGAGACCTGGAGAAATGATCTTCCAAGAGGCAGAAAAGATTTGGAAATAATAACAGTGGGAACCCAGGAAAACTCAAACTGGATAGAAATGTGGACCTGGGCCTTTCTTTATTCTATTGTTGGATGTGGAAGAATGGGGTCAGGGATCTACGAGGGGGAAAATATATTTGTAAAGACCTGGATTTACTGAGGAGAAAATGTGGCAGGATAATAGCTGGAATATTCGTCTTCATCCTTGCCTCCTCCTCCTCCTCCTCCTCCTTCTCCTCCTCCTCCTCTTTCTTTCTTCTTCTTCTTCTTCTTCTTCTTCTTCTTCTTCTTCTTCTTCTTCTTCTTCTTCTTCTTCTTCTTCTTCTTCTTCTTCTTCC